ATTAGACTAATGGTGAGTTACATTAGACTAATGGTGAGTTACATTAGGACTAATGGTGAGTTACATTAGACTAATAGGTGAGATTACATTAGATAATGGTGAGTTACATTAGATAATGGTGAGTTACATTAGATAATGGTGAGTTACATTAGATAATGGTGAGATACATTAGATAATGGTGAGATACATTAGATAATGGTGAGATACATTAGATAATGGTGAGATACATTAGATAATGGTGAGATACATTAGATAATGGTGAGATACATTAGATAATGGTGAGATACATTAGATAATGGCGAGATACATTAGATAATGGCAAGATACATTAGATAATGGTGACAATGGTGAGATTAGACTAATGGTGAGTTACATTAGATAATGGTGAGTTACATTAGATAATGGTGAGATACATTAGACTAATGGTAACAATGGCGAGATACATTAGACTAATGGTGACAATGGTGAGATGCATTAGACTAATGGTGACAATGGTGAGATGCATTAGACTAATGGTGACAATGGCGAGATACATTTAGACTAATGGTAACAATGGTGAGATACATTAGACTAATGGTGACAATGGCGAGATACATTAGATAATGGTGAGTTACATTAGATAATGGTGAGATACATTAGACTAATGGTGACAATGGCGAGATACATTAGACTAATGGTGACAATGGCGAGATACATTAGACTAATGGTGACAATGGCGAGATACATTAGACTAATGGTAACAATGGTGAGTTACATTAGATAATGGTAACAATGGTGAGATGCATTAGACTAATGGTGACAATGGCGAGATACATTAGACTAATGGTAACAATGGTGAGATACATTAGACTAATGGTGATAATGGCGAGATACATTAGATTATGGTGAGATACATTAGACTAATGGTGAGTTACATAAGACTAATGGTGAGTTACATTGGACTAATGGTGAGTTACATTAGACTAATGGTGAGTTACATTAGATAATGGTGAGATACATTAGACTAATGGTGACAATGGCGAGATACATTAGACTAATGGTGACAATGGCGAGATACATTAGACTAATGGTGACAATGGTGAGTTACATTAGATAATGGTGAGTTATATTAGAT